CGTGAGCGAGAACTTAAGTAGCAGTCTGCAGCCAGAAATATTTTAATTAGCTCTCTGCTGGACTCACTGTATTTAAAAATCAATGAGTGGCTGCACACTAAAGCCTAGGTTTGCAACTTTCCTTCTCTTCATATAATTGATCCCTCTGTGGCCCAAACACACATGTGGCTAGACTCCACAGATTTCTGAAAACAAGTTTTTTTTTTTTTTTTGCAGTATGGATTAAAAAGCTGCATTCCTCTGGTTTCGTTGGAGAGAAATATTACACACGCATACACACACACACAAAACACATGGCCTGCTTTAAGCCCCAACGTTAAAGTTTATTTATTATTTTACCAACCCAAATTATATAAAACAAATGGAGCTGAGGAGAGAAACGTATCTAATTTAAACTATTATTTATTATCCCGTATACCGTTTTTGTTTATAAATAACTCAAGGTGGCAAACATCCTATCTAGAATTCAACAGGAAGGAGATTTATATCACTAGACGTTTATAGAGGATCCTGTAACTTACATCAGTCTGTATACTATTCTTCTACTATCGGTGTCTGTCTGTCTATTGTTGTGCTGATCGAGCAAAAGACACCAATAGCAAAGCATGACAAAATAGTATCCCTATAGCAGGAATTCTCACCCATGATAGATTTCTGTAAACTTGGATGCGGGAAAAAATATACATTCTAATTTTATTTTCACTAATCGCTACCTAAAATTTAGCTTGTCTTGTAATTGATTTAATGGATTAGTAAAGAAGCATGCATATTAGCGTAATGCGTATTGCTATTTTTAAATATTTTGATATCTGTATTTGAGTACAATTTGTTTCTTTTGCAGATATTCCTCAATATTCTTGTGTTTTACTTTTGGGGTTTTAACACACTTTTCTGGGAAGGGTCCATAGGTTTCACCGGACTCTCAAAGGAGGTCCAGGGGATGAAAATGTTAAGAATTGCTGCTTTGGAGAATCTTTGAAGAGTAAAAGAGGAGATGGGGTGAGGAAGAAAACAATCCTACAGTTAAATTGGGAGCTTGGATCCTGAGGTTTTAGTTTAATGTAAGTCTCAAGATGGAAAGTTCAGACTAGGAATACATTGATCTGAAAGTACAAGAGTACACTTAGCTTTTTCAGACAAAAACATAGTGGATGACCCAGTAATACTGACAACGCAATTTCTCTTTACAGATTTCAAGGAATTTTAAAAGAAGCTCAGTCAGGCTGCTGTTTTCATTTCTAATTTTTAATTCTTTGCTCCTTTTGCCTTGTTTTAAGAGAGTGTAAACTTCCTTTAGCATCTAAAAAAGGCGCAAGAGGAAAACACGCATGCTCGCACGTGCAGCAACACCATAAATTACATATATTTTGAGAATGAGCAGGAAAAAGATCTAAAACCCCAAACAAAACCCCAATAATTCATTCTTTCTTTCTTTCTTTCTTTCTTTCTTTCTTTCTTTCTTTCTTTCTAAAAATCAACTTTTAATTTTGATGGATTTAATTGGGTTGCAGTATGCCGTTTCCTCTTTTTTAAAAAAAAAAAGAAAAAAAGGCACTTAAGAAACTATGCAGATGTTTAATTTGGATACACCTGTTCGGGCTGGAAATTCTTCATTGCGGAACATGAAAATTAAAAACCTCTAATTTGCGTATACCTGATTTTTAATATCAAATGATTATCTCAGACATATTTTTAACTGGCGACACCGCAGTGTAGTTCCTTTCTCCATCTTTTATCTACTGTGAGGTTTTTTTTCTTCCTTTTTTGGAAAGCTATTTAGTACCCACGATTGTGGGGAGGGGAAAAAAAAAAAAACATTTGCTCATAATTATCCAGACGTAAATGTGGAACGCAACTGGTACAAGAGCAGCATGCGAAAAATGTATTTAAGGTCTATCATCCCAAAATGCTGCTAAAAGCTATTAACCAGTACGTGTTAATTGCCACAGCATTCATATTAATTTTCACTTCAGGCCCGACATTGCTGAATATTTCCCCTGATACGTTTTAAACAAAGTTTAATTTAAGGAACTGCTTCTATCAACACTTATGAAAATTAACAGCCAAGCAATTAGTACTCATGAATTATCCCTTCCCCCAGTCTCATTGCTAAAAACAGTTGCTAACAAAGAAATTGTTGTGGGTTTCTTTTTCAGACGGGGGCCCATGGCCTTGGACACCCCCCAGCCCCAAAGAGTTGAAATGTGTTGTCAAATTACGGCAGGCAAATTTTATTTTTGGCTGCAAGGCAGAGATTTATTATTATTATTATTATTTTTAAACCTGAAACATTTCCCCCCCCCCCAGTTCAAAAGCTTCTGGATGTTTGATTATCTATTGTTTTCACAACCTGGGCAGGTCCTAGAAACTTAATAATAATAATAATAATAATAATAATAATAATAATAATAATAATAATAATAATAATAATAATAATAATAATAATAATAATAATAATAATAATAAATTGGAAGGGACCTTGGAGGTCAGGATGAACCAGGGAAGGATGTCTATCAATCCCAGATATGGACAGAAAAGGAGAAATTAATTTAGGATAAGTGTCTATGAAGATTCTCGGTCATCCAGATCACGGTTGTCCCAAAGGTGTTTTTTTCAAAAAGCAACTGGACTTCTGTTTTTCCTTGAAGATGAAGAACTAAAAGAAGCTTCTTGGATGAGACGCGAAACGTCGTCAGGGAATAACAAAAGTCCACTTGCCTTTGGGACAATTTTGGATAAAGTAACAGAGATTAAATAGTGCAACCTATGTAGAAAACGTCGCCTTGATACTATCCTTTGGAGATGCTGAACTACTAAACCCAGTATCTCAGGGGTTGCCCCAAAGAAGAGGGAGTCAAGCTATTCTCCAAAGCCCTTGAAGGCAGGACAAGAAGCAACGGATGGAAACTCATCAAGGAGAGAAGCAACCTGGAACTAAGGAGAAACTTCCTGACAGTGAGGACAATTAATCAGTGGAACGACTTGCCTCCAGAAGCTGTGGATGCTCCCAACACTGGAGGTTTTCAAGAAGAGATTGGACAACCATTTGTCTGAAATTGCATAGGGTTTCCTGCCTGAGCAGGGGGTTGGACTAGAAGACCACCAAGGTCCCTTCCAACTCTGTTATTCTATTCTATAGATATGAGTAAGTTGCCTAGTGTCTGAAGTTTGACAATAGGGTGCTGCAAAGATCGTCAGTGTGAAAAATCGTCATGTACCACTTTTTTCAATGCTGCTGTTAACTTTGAATGATCACTAAATGAATTGTTGTTAAGTCAACCATTAGGATAAATTTTTCACACCTCGGTCTGCTTGTTGGACAAGCACAGCCCCGGGTGACTAAATCTGCCCTGCTTCCAGTTCCAATTCACCATGCGATTAAAAAATAGAATCAGAGAGGTTCCGACATTAAAAAAAAAAAATCAATACATTTTTTAAGCAACTCTTTCCCTCCTCTGAGCATTTTTCCTGGGTTTCAAATACAGCAATCGCCCTGCTTCTCTTTTGTATATATACTGTACATATATAGGAAGAGTTGCAGTTTTTGCGAACATTCATAAATTCTTCGCCTGGGAATAGAAACGTGCCCGATTTGCATAATTAACCAAACCAGTTGGGTCTCTTGGGGAAGGAATGCCTAATTGGGAAGAGATGGGGAAGTCTATTATGGGGGGGGAAAGACTTTGGGGGCCTAATTAAGCACGCTTTAAAAAAAAAATCCTACTTAATTATATATTTACTCCAGAGGCTGGGTGACTCTTGAAATCTGTTTTTTTTTTTTGTCAGATTTGGAACACAGGCTTTGATCCTCTCTTTCTTTTTCTTTTTCTTCTTCTTCTTCTTCTTCTTCTTCTTCTTCTTCTTCTTCTTCTTCTTCTTCTTCTTCTTCTTCTTCTTCTTCTTCTTCTTCTTCTTCTTCTTCTTCTTCTTCTTCTTCTTCTTCTTCTTCTTCTTCTTCTTCTTCTTCTTCTCCTTCTCCTTCTCCTTCTCCTTCTCCTTCTCCTTCTCCTTCTCCTTCTCCT